CAATCACTGAAAATACTTTTAATGCGTCAAGAGGCCTCTCGTAAAATGTACTGCTATTAATCCTATGCAATTTTACCGTAACTGTTATCACCCCCTATATCAGTATGGTTTGAATCGAATCCTTAACTAGTTTGCGAGGGTGAGAGATTCATTTTGGACGAAGTAAGTAATGTCTTTAGGTAATCGGCTTTTTGTCAAGGTTTTGTTAAATACGTACGACCGGGGATATTTTGATCCCAAATTAATGAAATTTTTGTTTGCTGGTCAGGCATTTTTGGCATGGATTAATTTTGTGCATATGAGAAAGTATTTTGCCTTGCCTCTCTAGGTGAATTAAAGTAGTATTGCTTATGTGATCGCCGCATAAGCTTTCTTCCAAGAGTATGCCGTCTCTGTGAGAGTAAATTTTTTTGCCTGATTTTTGTGATTATATATCAAGCAATTTTTCTTGAGGATGAGGTTAATGATGTCATAAGAATTGTAGTATTTCAGGCGACAGTCGTCTTTACTGCGATGATATCCCTGTAGTATTTAGCGGCGTCGTTAATTACTCTTCTCAGATAAGTGTTCGTGGGACTTACTGTTTAATTGCCAGCAAACTGAATTATTGAATTGCAAGAATTATTTATTATAGTGATGGTGGTGCTGGCATGAAGGCCGTGTCCTAATCATGCTGCATCCCCTGTGCCTCTGTCTCCGTTACCTGCGACTGGAGTTGAATTACAACACGGAACAACGGGCGAAGAAACATCACACCTTAGTAATATAGGCAGATATTATTGCTGGTTAAGACAAGGAAGACTATAATGGCCAGTTTTTGCTTATTGGCCATCGTGAGTCAGCCAGACACAGCCCCAAATTATGTGCGGTTTTTATTCATAATACATCGTATCCGTCAATTTATTAATACTGCCACTGATCCACAGCTGATCCACTGCTACTGCCACAGCATGATCCATGTCTATTGCGAAATTCTATGAGAGCTATGCAACTACTTCCTCAAACCCTAGGCAAGGACGTACTTTTCCTTAAACAGGATGAACACGGCATTCAGTTTGTAAAACGTGAATTCAGGTCTAGTATTAGGTTGCTTTCAAAATTATTCGGCAATTTAGAAACGTTTTTAAAACCGATGGAGACCCTTCCTTTAAGAATAGAACTTAAAGGAGGCCTAATTTGCTATCAAATAAGTACAAGAGATGATTTTTTCGTGCATGCTTTCCATAAAAGATATTTGAATTTAGAAAGGCAGTCAAAATCAATGATAAAAATACATACTATATAAGTAGCCATTTTTTACAGAATCAAATTTTTCGCAGCGGTCAAAAGAAGTTCATCATAGAGTCGGCATCCTAGCGTGACTGAAAGTAATTGAAATTGGACTGCATGATAAACAATATTGCAACCCTACTCAATGTTGCTTTGCAAGTGATTACCGGTCTTTTTCAAATTGCGGAATGTTTCATGCAGCACTCGCCATACTCTATATATGGAGTGGATCCAACAGAGACAAGGGAGACCAGAATGGCCATTGCTGGTTGGTTAGCCGTCATCAGCCAGTCACACCAAACCTCAAAGGTTGGAATCACCGGATTCGAACCCGGGACCTTTAGTCGCTGAGCTTAACACTCTACCTCCGCACCACGGGCTCGTTGCTTTGACGGTTGTGATGGTGAATATGAAGGAACTGGGATGTTTATCCCTTGTCGGATCCACTAAGTAATTTTCTGAGGTCGCTAGGCGACAGCCTAATATGGCTCAAGTACGAGCCTCAAGGCACTTCCGGAAAGTATTTGCCCTAACCACGCCAACCGGCGGACTGATCACTCGTTGCTGTTCGGTTGATTTGTTCTTCACCTCACGGTTGCGACGGTAAAATAGCTTTTGATGTTGGCCGCATGACCTCCAACTTCTACCCCTTCTAGCGTAGGCTCTCAGTTCTGCGTACTCGTTGCTCTACTAGTCATGGTTGACTTGATCCGAGCCTTGTGCAAAGCGCCTGGTAGGCAAGGTTCAAGCCTATAGCTCTATTGATTGTGCCAGTGGAGGACCAACTTTCCAGCACTAGTCTGGCCAATTTCTCATTGGCCATGCCGATCACCCTCGCCTTATCAAAGGCAAAGTCGTGGTTCAGCTGTTGCACGTGACCATAGACTAAAGACAGCTTGTCCTTGCGATTGATTGCAACTTGATGTTCGTGCAATCTTGTGCCCAGGCGTTTGCCCGTTCCACAAACAAACCTCGCCTCGCAGTTTTTGCATGGTATGCTGTAGACTACGGCTGATCGCTCGGTTGCTGGCAGTGGGTCTTTCGGCTTCATGATTTGCCGATTGATTGTAAAGTCTGCTCTATGCGCACTCCGACCCCAAAAGGTTATAGGATTCGTGCAGTCGCTTCTGACACGTTTTTCACGTAGGGGATGGCTTTTCTTCGTTCGACCGATGAAGGCGAGGCTTCTTGAGGCACTTTCGGATGAAGGACTTCGGATAACCGTTGGCTTTCAAAAGGGCATTTAAGTACTTCATCTCCTCCTGCTTCCCACTATCTTCACTACAGTGTGTTTGAACACGTCGGAAGAATGTTCTGACACAACTATTTTTGTGAACAGCAAGGTGGTTGTTTTGGAAGTGCAGAATGCGCCTGGTGTTAGTTGCCTTACGGTAGACCGTTGCCCTTATCTTCCCGTCTGCCAGTTTTGTAACTTGGACGTTAAGGAAGGGCAAATGATTGTTGACTTCTTCTTCCTTGGTAAACTGGATGTCGGGAAAGAGCGAGTTCAACAATGTCTTGAAAGCTTGCACATAGCTCCTCTTCAGTATGACGAAGAGAGCAGGCAGAGCCAAGAAGAATAAGAACAAGGAAAAGAAGACACAAACGCTAGGACGAAAGCTTTACTCGTCAAAAGATCGGGGCTCGTACTCACATCCATTGTCAAATACCCAACTAGAGAAGGGCAGCGGTTCACACAACTGTTACGGTATTTATAGGGAACAAAAATTATGCAACTGCATAGCTATAATATTTGACGGCTCCTATATTCGTCATGGAATGTTGAAATTGATGCAAACAATGGTTTGGAAGAGGAAGAAGGCGTGTCGAGTACCAGATCAATTGATTTATTGTTCTGAGCTTTCGAACCCTTACAGCAGTT